GCAAGGATTAAATCCCAATACATTTGAAGAGTTGGCAACTCGTGAACATGACAGGAAATTAAGCATGACTTTAAGAGAAGATCAACAATCTCCTGTGTATGGACCTCATGAAGATGAAGATATAGAAGAACTCCAAAGTGGGGGCAAGTATGTATCCGAGGATGACTTTGAGTGAATGTATATCTAGACGCTCCTTAACGCATGAGCTTAAACTGCAAGCTACAATGCTCTTTGAAAAACGAGCTTAAACTGTATATCACTTAAATTTTCAAGTTGAAATGCTACTTAAAACACGAGCTTAAGTATGTCACTTAAATTTCAAGTTTGAGTTAAATCTTCAAGTTTAGATGCTCCTTGAAACACGAGCTTAAATTGTATGTCACTTAAATCTTCAACTTTGAGTTAAATCTTCAAGTTGAAATGTTCCTTGAAATACGAGCTTAAACTGTGTATCCCTTAGATCTTCAAGTTTGAGTTAAATCATCGAGTTAAAATGCTACTTGAGACACGAGTCTAAACTGTATGTCACTTAAAATCTTCAAGTTAGAGTTAAATCTTCAAGTTGAAATGCTCATCGAAACACGCGCTTAAACTGTATGTCACTTAAATCTTCAACTTTGAGTTAAATCTTCAAGTTGAAATGTTCCTTGAAACACGAGTTTAAACTATATATCCCTTAGATCTTCAAGTTTGAGTTAAATCATCGAGTTAAAATGCTACTTGAGACACGAGTCTGAACTGTATATCATAAAGCTATTTAAATTTGAGCTAAATCTTCGAGTTAAAATGTTCCTTAAGGCAAGAGCCTAACTACATGTCACTCCTGGCCCACAAGAATATAAATTGTGTATGACACAACAAAAAATCACTCAATCCTCCAGAACTACGTTGTGACTTGATCCTCTTCATTGAGGTACGTAGGCACTTAGAACCATATTCTAAATTTACTTGCATGAGTGTCAAAAAAATCAAATGTTCCCACTTGATCTGTTACATGAGTTCAAGCTATGAGTAAGCTTTCATAAAACTTCAGACTTGCACTAAATGGTGGTGACTAAATGGGTGCAAACCCTTATGAATAAAATTGTTTCAAGATGAAATTTTAAAATCTCCAATTATACAAATTGAAGTCTTCAAATTCTTCAAGCCTAGTCTTTGAAGGTAAAATATCTCGACAAGACTTGAAGAAGGGGCATTTGTAGTCACTTAAAATTTATTAAATATAAATTTATAAAGTTATTCAGATTATATTAAATAAATGAATATATTAGTCCAAATAAATATTATGGATTAATATAATTACTTAAATTCAGATAAATATGAATTTAATTAAAGCCGGCTCCATAAAGCCCATATAATATTTCACTTAAATCTGATTGGCTGAAGGAAGTCACGTTCCAATCGCAACTCCTCTATTCTAAAACTATAAATAGGGGTCTCACAATTCAGAAAAAGAGAATCAAGAATTCTAAATAAGAAGCTAGAGAAAATTCGTGGTACAAACGCCATTTAATTCTCTACAAAGCTACAAGTTTAAGAATTCAAGCATTTAAGTTCAAGAACGATCAAGATCAAGACCACCGAATTCAAGAACAAGCTCGAAGCCCTTGAATTCAAATAAAGGTCAAGATCAAGATAAAGTTTAAGTTCGAGTTCATCATAGATTAAAGAATATGCTTTAAAGGCCTTGAATTTATATTTGAAAAGGAGAATTCATAAGAATTATAGAGATTGTAACACTTGCATTTGAAATAATAAAATTGATTGTTGCAATAATTTTCCATTCTTGATTATTGTTTTCTCGACGCGAATTTTATTGTCTACAATTACCTTAAAAGGGGGTGCGAAAAATAGGCCATTCGGAAAAAAAAATTCAAACATCTTGTTGTCACACTTACTATAATAAGATATATGTAGGCTCATAAAATGATAATGCATTCCCAATCAAAAAATTATTCACTTTCAAAGTATAAGAGTGGATTAATATGAGCCATCACACCAAACCTCATTGATGATAACTTATGTTTTAGATACTTTTTATAAACTATAATTATCATCTGATTACTTCTTAGGATAATTTGATTGTATTTGATTTATAAAACTTAAAATTTATCAATAAAATTATAGGGATAATGCACAAGTATCCGCTCAATTTATGTCCGAAATTTCAGAGACACACTTATACTATACTAAGGTTCTATTACCTCCCTTAACTTATTAATGTCTCTTATACTATACTAAGGTCATATTACCCTCCTAAACTTATTTTATCAATAATTTTCTACCCTTTTCTACCTACGTGGCACTATCTTTTATGTCCAACTGGTTGACTTTTTTTTTCAAGCTAGTGACATGTGGGCCTAAAAGGGATAGAAAATTGCTTATAAAATAAGTTCAGAGCAAATAGGGTCTTAGTATAGTATAAGTGTGTCTCTTAAATTTCAAGCATAGATCGAGGGGTATATGTATATTTTCCCTAAAATTATACGTACCACTTGTTATTTGAAACATCAATTTTGTTGGTGTGACACTTCACCAAACAAAAAAAAAAAAACAAATCTCCACTTTATATTCAACAAGTAATGACGTACGAGTATTGACATCACCATATCTAGAAGATGAGGCTTGTAACTAAAATGAAATTTAAGCCACTCAAATGGAACTCAAACAAGTTGTATAGAAAACATTAAATAAGTTGTCTAGTAAACATTAAATGCCACCTTTTAATATTGTTTCTTCCCCTCAATTTTGTGTAGTTTTCTCTTTGACCTGGTTTGTTTGATTGAAGATGATTATTGGTCCTTATAATAGTGACTTAATATGGTTCGGAACGATGCACCAAATAATGTGGATTCTTGTTTTAATCTACACAGAAAAAAAAATTAGGAAATTGTTAGATGAGAAGATTTTTAGAATGTGAAGCATCATAGAATGAGTTGTCAATAAAATAGGTGAAAATTGTAGATCAAATAAACGATCCAAAATTATTATAGAGATGTGGTTTGTAAGCTATTACACAGTAGGGTGTTCAGCGTATACAAAGTGTTCATCATAGGGTGTCCATCCAAGGGCAAAGACTAGTACTAGTTGAGAAGTAAGAAATTTGATAAGGGTGTTCACTATCCAAGATTTAATATATATGTATATAAATTATTTTTTAACCTATATACTTTATACAATTTCTTTTTATAGATATTGTATAATTTTTCGACGAAGCGTATCCTGGATATTTTGGGCTATATGTGGCTACGCCACTATCCGTGATAGAGGTTATAGTAATTGCGGGTTATCCTCAGATTTTTAAAAGAAAAACAAATAAATTTGAAAAACAAATAAAAAAATAATGTGATTTCTTGTGATTTGCAGTGGATTCGTGATTAGTGTTAGGTAATATATATATATATATATATATATATATATATATATATATATATATATATATA